CTGCTGCTGTGACGTCAGATTTGTTTGTGGTTTGATATCCGGGTCTTTGTAGTAAGTGTCTTTTAATCCACGGCTCTTTCTCAGGTAACCCAGAAGATCCCCAAAAGGCACATATTCAATCAAAACCAACAGCTGTTCTGAAGAAATTAAACAATTTAATTGATATGTTACTTTCTTTAAAAAAAAAGCAGTAATTGAAATAGATGAATAGCCCAGTCATGGTCAACACTTTTGAAGAAATCGCATGAAAACAAGAAAAACTATGCGACGGTCTCATAAGAAAGTACAGACCAATTATTCCCTTAAAAAAAGCGTTTCTGCTTCTACAACAGAATGATCTGTTCAGTGGCAAATATTCGGTCTTAGTCTATCAGTAAATCCAGGAACGTCTGTGTTGGCTAAAATAAGATAAAATTACCTTATGCGATGGTTGTTTGTTTTGCTCAATTGCGAAGCGGTCACCCTTCCACTGAGGCAAATTATCAATGACGAGAAAGCGTTACAGAGGAAATCATAAGAAAAATGTGTACAGCAATATTAGGCCCGCATAACCAAAGCATACCAGATTCAGTAACACATCCCAGAAGTTTAATGACGTAAGGATGTGGTTTTAGCTGTTTCATTGTGTCAAGTTCTTTCATCAGATCTCTCTTGTCCGATTCAGTAGCGTTTTCTGGAGCATTAAAAACAAGGAGTAAAATTTGGTTAACGGGAATAATATGCGAAATGTCGGAATAACAACATAACTTATGAAATGGCAAATAGCTACATAATTACAGTAACCCGGTAACATTTCCTGAATGTCTGTAGGCCAAGACCCATTCAATTTACAGTACAAGAGCTCACTTTTAAGTATCTTAATAGCCACTGTGGTCGTTTCAGGACTCCCTCGAAGTCCTACTGCTGTTCCCTTGGCAACCTGACCAAAAGCACCTTTACCAATGATTTTTTCTATGGTCACGTAATGTCTTGGAACTTCCCAGCAGCGTGTTAATGGATGAAGAGGCACGTAATCAGCACCTGGAGGGGTACTTTGTGCTTTTCTATCATCTTTGTTGACTTCTATGAGATCCATGTATTCCGCATGAGGCTGGGTGAGTTTTCTTGAATCAGGTAGGCTTGGTTCGATATCTTCTAATAATGTTTCATTCTATTAAACCAACACACTGTTAAGGTATTCATATCCAAATCTGTTATTAATCCCAGTAAAAAGTACCTCATGGTTATAAAAATCAGTTCACCCATTTTTATCAGACAAATGTTTATATTCTTCCATGATAAGAGATTATAAATAGTTTATAACCTCTTGTCCTTATTATTACTAACATTTTGTTCTCTGCTTTTGAAATTATCATGTCCAATAGAGTGATCGAGGCTCATAGCATATTCGTCGAAGCTACAAACTGCAACGTGAAGATTGTCGATTGGTAGTCCAATATTTTGACAAATAAACGCACGAAACAACTCTTGCAGTACCAAGCTCCTAAACTCACGTTTAGAAAATAAGGCATCAAGAAAATACGACGGCCAAAATGCACGAAATTTATTATTTAGGAAGCAAATATCAAATATCTGTGAAGTGAAACCAAGCGGTTGAACCAGGGACAATCGAAGGAAAATCCATGGAGTGGCTTGGTAAAGGACATGATCACAGGACAAAGACCTTATTGAGCCTAACTTCCTCTTTTATTTCATTGTATCTGCCACTGATGCAATATGCTTTTTTTATGTAGAACTACAAATTTTTTCCCTCTCATTTACTTACGTCGTAAACACGTCTCTCATCTTCATAAGTCCTACAATTGAGAAAGCATAGAAATAATTATAAAACGCTAAGAATTTCATCAGTTTTTATTGGAGTTTTGTGTTAAGATGAAACCATATCGGGCACATTACATCGACACAATTCAACTAGCAGAAAATTCTTACCTCTGTTTCCCTACAGCGCCTGAAAAAGAACGAAAGGAAAAAATACAAATGATTTAAACGCGAGTAAAAATTTGCTTTTGCGTGAAAAAGAATCTTGCAGCCAAACATAGATTATGATTTTTTACCTACCTTTCTTATGTAGCCAGATTATGTAAATAATTAGAAGAAGGACTGTGAAGACAAGAACCCCAATTACGGCCAACAAGACGTTGTTGGATGGGCAGTTACATTCCTCAGGACCTAAAATGATTCATTTTGCAAAGCTTGATGAAATAACATTCAAACAACATTTACACTGATCCTGGTCGATACACTGCTCTCACTACATAGCATAGGTTCGTGACCGGAAAACGTTAACTCTAATTGGCTTGGTACGAAGGAAGAGTAAGGTGCTACTCTCTCTAAAATAATTTTTAAGAGTAAGACTTTGTTTAATTAAATAAAACAACAACGAAAAAAACAAAAACTTGGAAGTGTATCAGTCACAGAATAAGTTGTTTAATTAAATAGATACGGAATACAATTATAAAAAGTCCATCTTCGGAAGAATACGTGTAAACATTGAACAATGTCTTTGTAAAATTTACCTTTTGTTGTGCTTTCCGAGCCATCTGTGGGTATTAAAACTTGTTTAATTGAGTCTGGATTGACTTTAAAACCTCTGAATTTGTCTTGCCTTGCAGCATCCGACAGGACAATCAAAACATTGCTGACGACTACAGTTTGATTGAACCTCATCATAAAGTCAAGAACAACACTGCCACACCTAGATAAGGGGGGTGGGGGGAGCAAAGAGTATCATCGCACACATTCGTACTTTGGTGATTTTTAAGTGTTAAAATATATTGAGATTTAACCAATGTATTAAACCAAGGTAAATAAAGACAATATTAAAGACAATATACTTCAAACATAAATTATCTTGTATTAAATAAGATTTGCTAGAGCAGAAAAAACACTTTTACAGCTAAAATACAACACATTGAAATAAAGCTCCTTTCCCCTACTAGAAGGCAAATTTGAGTTTGCATTTGTTGTTTCAGTGTAGAACAACAAACTGTACCTTACCTGGTGTTCACAGTGTTGGCGGATGAGCAGCCAAACCTGAAGGCAATTTGACAAGCCTAAAAGGACATATCAAGAAAAAACGTATATTCAAATGCTTGTCACATATTGAAGATCGTTCAGAATATCTTATTTTTTTAACAGAAATATTAAGATTTGATTCAAGAACAGATTGATTAAGATTCACTTTTCATGATAAATCTCATGGCAGTATTCCTTAAACTCCAGTATATGGATCAAGTAGATTATCTAACCATTTCTGGAAATTTCGCAGCAACTTCCGAACGTCTGCTACAGTTCTCCTGTATTGTCGCTGTCAGGTAAACTTCTGTGCTTACTGTTTGAACTGGGGAAAAACAAAATACGACTTAAAATGAACGTTTGTTTGTTTGTTTGCACAAGAATTATCATTTGAACTCATGTATAAAGCCTTTACTTAAAAAGAACACTGGCATAAAATGTACGAATGGGAGGCCAATTTGAGAGATATTGTTTTTCTTGTATTTTGCGTCACGATGGTGTTCTCAGAATCGTTCCCCAAGTCGTCTTCCTTTTCGCCGAAGTATAACATTTTGAAATAACCGCAAGTTATGAAATAGATGACATTGATGGTGGCAGTCTCAACATTATTTATGAAAGGAAAAGTTTTGTGTTATGCACGCGAGGTTAAAGCCTCGGGTTGATCATTTATTTAGAAAGTAATTCTGACCAATAGGCAATAGGCCACTTCTGAGTTCTCGCGGTTCAGTAATCTGTTGTCGAAATTACGGCGCGTAGAGGAGGGTAAGTGCGAAGTCGCTCTCATTGGTATGAAGAATGGAGTGCAGTGGTGGTGAAATGAGAGAAAAGTTCTCAGAATTCAGTGTGGGAGAGTGAACATTTTTTTGTGGGAGAGAGGCATCAACTAAGTGATGGCGGCAAAGGAAAGAAAAAAGCAGTTAATTCAAGTATGAGAAGATAAATCTAAAAAGTTGCAGAGTTCTCTTTCCAGGTTCAGGTGAGCATGTGTCAGTAAACTAGTTAAAATATCTGTGTGTGCCAGCCAATGATTGAAATCTCAGTTACTAGATATGCCATATCTTTGCAATTGGCACACATATATCTACTGCGACGTAAGTGAAATTTTTCATATTGATTCAGGTTTTTTGCAAGCGAAGAATTCACCCGTAAAAACCTCGATATTCGTGACACGGAGAGTGCTTGAAAACTAAGTAAAGAAAAAGATAACCTTTGAAAGGCGAAAATAAGATTCATTTGAACATACTACCCTCTGCCTTGACTTGCTGGATATTTGCTTTCTCCTGTTTTAGGCTTTCACCAAGCTCACTAGTTGCAGTAATGGCAAACTGATACACCTTTCCTTTCTCCAACGCTATTTTCAATTCTCTCGTAGAAACATCTCTGATTTTCCTTATTTCTGTCCACTGTCCCACTTTCCCATCAGTTACTACTCTTTGGTACACTGTATACATGGTGATAACTTTTCCATTACTTTCTGGCTCCTTCCACTTTAGGGTAATTGTATCGTCTGTTGTTTCATCTGGCAGTTGGTCTATTTCGACCACATCTGGGGCTCCTAGATTGATGTCAACAACACGGACAGCGTGAAATTTCTAAAAATTATACAACTTCTTGATAATAATCTGGTCACAACCATTATCAGTGATAAGATAGTCTGTAAATTGGTCGAGGATTTTTAAGGATATTTTTTAAACGAATGTGTATTGCAAGCAAAATTAATTTAAGTAATTTAAAATAATTTGAATAGACAAAAAGTGATAATGAGAAGCCTAAAATGATGGTCGGTTGTAACTTAAAACAAATAGTGATTTGTTTAGCTACTTTCATATGATCAATTGAAGTACCGATGCATTCATTTGTGTTACGTAATTACAGAAAGTTTGACATCGCGCATGACTTAGTAAAGGCACTCGGCCATGACACGGTGGAAAAATGAGTGCGCATGCTCCGCTTCTCGAGCCATTCGAGTTTCTTCTTCTTATCGGTTTTTCCGCCGATAAAACAAACTTTTCTCTCCAGGGGGTTTGCCAACTGAGGAGGCAATGACAAGAAGCGCAAAAGCGATAAAAGGTGCTTTTCAATTCTGTGCGACGAAGTGACTGACAACACCAAACTTGAGCAGCTTTCATTTGTCTTTAGGTTCGTTAACAGACTCTAAAATTCGCGAAGAGTTTTTAGACTTCCAGTCTACGGAAAGAATAACTGGAGAGGTGATCTCGCAATTGATCCTAGGAAAACTCTAGCAGTGGGGCCTGGATATTTCCCACTACCGAGGTCAAGATTACGACAGTGCCTCAAACATGTCCTCCCAAGCTAGAGGTATACAAGGCTTAATTTCCAGGAAAACCTCAAAGCCTTGTGCGTACACTGCAATTCGCATGTTCTTAATCTCGTTATCGTAAAGGCATGTAGCTTGCCATTAGTTCCCAACATGGCTGGCACAATTACAGAATGTGCAAACTTTTTTAATTACTCCCCTAAGCGGCTGAGGTGCTTGAAAAAAGTGATAAGCCTAGATCAGCCAGAGTCTCAAGGAACCAAGATTAGCGACCCTTGCCATACTCGTTGGTATTTGCCGAACAACAACCTCGTAGAATGTGTGACGGTGTGTTAGGACATTAATATACCAAAGGTTCCAAACCTCGATATTTTATTACAATAAATAACGGATGAATGTTATGACAAAATTCATGGATATGGATCGGAGATTCGAAATCCATTGGTTCTAGGTGTCCATAACACTGTCTAGCGATAGAAAATCTTAACAATTATATCCGTTACGTCATCAAATTATAATGCGCAAAGAAATTAGAATTTTGCGCAATACAGAATGTTACTCGTTGATCCCATTTTTGAGGAATCTTAAGCGTGACCTTTTAGAACACATTAAATAGCGAAGAAAAATATATTACTGTGATTTTAGTTTCATTTTCTAGGGGTCAGTTGATCTCGATTACTGTCAAGACCAAAACGTAGTCCTTGTTTCATAAAATAGCTTTCATAAGAGATGGTTAAGGTATTTTAAAAACCGTCCACCATCATCCCTCAAAACGCTGGAAATCGCATTTCAAAACTTCCTGGGGGAGCATGCCCCCTGCGCACCCCCCCAGATGGGTCCGCCTTCGGCGACCCATTTGTTCGAAGCCCCCTTTTCGAAATTCTGGATCCACTCCAATACTGCAAAATGGATAGTTCGTTGTTGGGTGTTCTGAATATATAAAGGGGTAAGTTTCTAAAGAAACTGTGGTGCTGCGTCGGTGGGAGAGTATAGCAGGTAATTTAGTGTTAACAACTGAGTTGAAAACGTAAATTAGCCACCGTAAAGGGTAAAAAAGCTGACGTTTCGAGCGTTAGCCCTTCGTCAGAGCGATTGATACCTGTTCTGAATATAGCCGGTAAGCGTTTAGGAAAACTGTATCCAACTAACGTAAAGATCACTGTCTAACGTTTTTTGTTGTTATTAGTTTATATCAAAAGATTTTGAGACGTGAACATAAAAAAAACACCACAAGGCAAACAATTCTTGATAAAACAGGTAGCATTTACGAAACGTAACCGCATGGGTTGTCTCTTGTTCTCACCTACGTTTACCTGTGGTTTAGTGATACGCTTCTTCATAAGTAGGTACCTCTCAAATAACTATTAGAGAGGGAGAGGAAAATGGCCAATATGGGGGAGACTTAAAATCAAAAATCTTATATACGGCGAGCAGATAAGATGGTTAAAACTGGGACCACTCACAACAAATCTAAGTTGGCAACAAAACGGTTGGTGCTAAGTGCTCAATCACGATATCACCTCTGATTCCTCACCTTCAAGCTTGGTCTTAATCGTCCTTACAGTAGGATCTCCCTCGAATACGAAATTTCTGGAAAACAGTTTCACTGTGTAGTTGGTATTTTTCTCCAAACCACGAAACGAATAAGATGTCGTCCCAGGATTGGTGATAGCATCCTTTTCTAACTCAGTTTCACCCTTTTGTAAGATCAGTTGGTATCCTGTAATCGGACTTCCTCCATCATCAGCTGGTGCAGTCCATCGTATTGTTATAAAAGTTGCTTGAATGACTGATTCTGACGATTTGATGGATGCTTTCCCTGGTTTCTCTTTATAGTGCCATAAAAAAGGGATCATTTTGAGCAAAAGGAAAAAAAAAAACCAAAGGAGAATTTTTTTTTCAGTGATTACCCCACAGTAAGTTTTGTTACAATACTTAGGATGAATGCAAGTTCTTGTATTAATAAAGTTTAATGAATAACATGTAGCTACTGGATAAATTCAGCCAAGAGCTTAAGAAAACGAGGAAAAATTAAGTTTCCACGGTTGAGGAAGTTTCCTATGGTTACTCACATTGGAAGATGTCGCCAATCTTCCTGAATTTCAACGCTCTTTTTCAACATGTTTAATGCTACCAGTAGGCAGGGTGTCGTCAATTTACTTTTAATCGTTTTTACAAATATGGGTGCATTTTCCACTAAAAGGTCAGGCTTACTATATCCGGCACAATTCCACTATTACGCTGTTATACCTCATTGGCGTAACGAACGTGAAATATATGTGAAGGTCTAATGCTGCTAAAGATGGGAAACGTCATTGGAACGCTCAGATAAGGCCGCAGGATTTATGTCGAAAACTAAGCGGCCAAATTGTTAGCCAATGAAAGAATGATAAGTCCCTTACTCGATGGTGTAACATAAGCTTACATTTTTCCACACAACTATAGGCCTTGCAAAATATCCGCATATATTATTTGTTAAACTATCAAATGTACAAAGTGAATGAGTCACTCTGTCCAATACTTTGTAAGAAAATTTGGGTTTTACTTCTAATACAACTGAAACAGTGATATGAGCCAAGGCAAAAGAAAATGCTGACCTTATATATACTTTTCTTCTTATCAAAATACACTGATCTTTTTTACTTACTTATCGGATTTATCTTTATTAACTCCTCATCAGGTGGAGTAAGTCCATTGGCAGCAATGCACTTGTAATGACCAAAATCTTGATCACCCCTAAGTGGCACCTGTACTTTGTTTTCTCTGGCTGTGACTCTGTTTATTTCACTTCCTTCAGGTTTGTACCAAGAGAGTGTTGGTGTAGGAACACCATCAGAAAGACACTTCAAAGTCACTGTCTGGCCAATCCAAGACTTCTTAGATGACGTGGTGACATTCTGAATTGTGGGCGGGTCTAAGAATAAATACCAATGCAATAAGCAATTGAATGAATAATTGGTAATGCTTCATCATTAGAACGTTAATCTTTATCAACTTCTGTATCATTCTGATTAAAGCGAGATTTATCATTTCGACCAATCAGAGTATGCTGTAATCAATTATACAGGAGGGAGCCATCGTATTGGTTACAAGTTTCTCGTTTTAAGAGATAAGAAGTATTTAGGGTGGAATTAAAAGAGGAAAAAGAATGGATTGTTTTTATACCAGATGGTAACAAGTTCCAAAGTTCAGCATTTCTAAGAAATATGATTTCCTATAATGATCCTGATTATGTCCCACAGCAAGTTATCATTGTTAATGTCGAATACGATAAGCTCAAAGGACAAGTGCAATTCCATGTATACAACATGTACATGTATACAACAATAGACATAGACCATTTCTGGACTTAAAAAATTCAGTCCGATATTTCTTACAATAATCAAGAGGTAAAAATCACCGTTTAAACTCATGATTGTAAAGGGCAGATATTGAATATGGCTTGCATTAAAAAGTTGTCACCAATCTTCCGGAAAAATAGATTTTTTGCACGACGTGTTGCCAAAATGCTGAGAGCAACAAACTCAAGGCTGCGATCTTGTCAATTGGATTGGCGAAATGACATTTCTAGACATTTACGTAATTTCGATTGATACAGGAAATGTTTTATATATCCATACTCCATGAAAGTATGTAATGACTTCAAAATCTAGAAATCAGTAAAATTATGCTTGGGTCTTATCTGCTGTGACAACAAAGGTCGATTGGAACGCTGCGCAGATACGCAAACACCGAAAAATTAAGTTCTCAAATGAAAGAATATTAATGTTAACTCGAGCCTCTCAAACAGAAAGTAAATTTCAATTACCCACAAATCATGGCCTTGTCTTAAATGATAAGCAATACTAATGTTTAAACCCACAACAGTGTCAGTGTTATTTGGCAGTCGAGTATTCAGTATAAGGTGGCAAGGCTTAAGAATAATGAAACATAAAATGGATTCTTGCCCTCAAATAGTATATGTCATCGAACACCACACATAAAAAAATGTGCAAATCTTAAGAATGAAGTTCAAGTTTCAGCCCATTTTCACACCTACCAGCTGATCTCAGCTATCAGTAAAAAAAGAAATAAAAATTATGTAATTTCTCAGTTGACAGTTAGGATTTTGACAAATTCTCAGATTTCCATTAAGCCCCGACCAGAGCCCTCACACAGAATCAGAATATGCCTTGTGCGCTAATCAAACGAAGCGAATTTTGGGTCGTCACAATGACTCGCATATGGCTTTAAGTCATTTTCTGAGTTAAACACAGTCCAACTGAAGCATAACTTGGTAAAAAAAATGTCACGTCCTCCTAAGGAAAATAACGTGAGAAACAATTCCACCTAAATTAAATTGTCCCACCAAATGAAACTGATCATGAGCCAATTTCAGGTAGCTGTTTCCTTTCTCTTAGATTCGTCAGTTTTGTGTAACTGACCCCAATGACAGGAGTTTTTAAATAAAGTAAATTCAGAGATAGAAAATTAAGGTTAAAATATACTTACAGTGAACTACAATTGTTGTGTCAACAAAAGTGACTTCCACTGAGTTATTAGCACGACATGTGTATTGTCCTGCATCTGTTCTGTTTATATTATCAAACTTTAAAAACGAAGCTTTCTTCCCTGAACTTTCCAGTACTCCATTTCTAATCCATGCTACATCCGGCAGTGGTTTCCCAGAAGCTTCACAGGCTATGGTGACAGGGGATCCTTCAATGTAATATTTTCCTCCTAAAGAGAGGTTTATAAGTGGTGCCTCTGAAAGTTAAAAGAGATTATATCATTCCTCATATGGCGTAGCAAATCTTACTTGGACTGAGTCTAAGAATTTACCCAATTACAATAAGATAAACAAAAGTATCCAGCGATTGGTCCCCAAAAACCAACTAGTATAAGGAAGCTCAATCATCTTTCAATACAATTTTGCTTGTTCACACGCAAAATTATAAATTTAAAGCAGAACTCTAGCCACGTGTATTAAGAGCTAATCCCGGAAGTAACTTATTGGGCTAAGGATCCTGGCTTCTAAGCTACTCACACGTTTTTGGATAAATTTTTTGCTGTTGCACAAGCAAATAGAAGCAGAGCTAATCAAGCCACACCTCACTTGAAACTTGGCCTGACAAAAGATCTACTGAAGACATCCTAACTGGACTGTATGAAGACCACTGTTAACAATTTGTGCTAAAAGGTTTGAGTAAGAAATGCAAAAAAGACCTTGCAAACCAGAGTAGCTGGAAGAGCATTTGTGAAAGGAAGAAAATCCATTTAATTTTTTAATGACAGAGGTAAAACTTAACGTTGAATAGTACTTGGTAACATATTATGTGCCAGTGTTAAAGGTTGAGGAAACTGTATGTAAAAAAATCCTTGACAATGGAGTGGTTTGCTCAAAAAGTTCCTAGATCTAAAGGTGAATAATACTACTTGTGTATCTTAAAATAGTTTCATCTCCCCACTTACCTATAATAGACTATATTAAACTTTGTTTAGATTTTAAGAGCCACCAATTTGAGTACCAGAATTTTGGTGGGTCCAGATGTAGCTTCTCATCCAGTTAACAATATTACAAAATCTTGGAAGGAGTTATAGAAGAAACCAGGAACTATTATAGAATTCTATGTACTTTTGTTTTGATTTATATTGACCTTTATTCAAGACTTAGATATGCTACCTCTGAAACATCCCCAAAAATCTGTTGGGTACAAGAGCCATAAGAGAGTTACATAGTAGGACATGTTTCACCATGTGTAGGTGTATGCTAGCTTGATCTATCCCACAAACCAAAACAAACCACTTTCATGCAAAACAAGCTAATGCTAAATGAAACTATCATCAAAGGATAATTAACTGAACTGAATTATCATTCAGTTGGAAGACCGAAATTCTCCTTTTTTCCATTTGGTTACAATAAATGATGCTGTATATGCCAGGGAGTAGATTTGACCCAATAAAACAGAGTTTCACCTCATTCAGAAAGTTGGGTAAACATTAACTCCAATTGCTTTTAAAGATCAATAAGTCGCCTTTCAGACATGGATTGGCTTTGGGCTACATGAACCACATGCAAACAATGATTCATTTAGTCCCTTTTAAGCCATAAAACCTGGTATCCTGCTATCATAAGACAATTTGGAAAGAGAGGTAGTGTTACAGGTATTGCATTGCAGTAAATAAGCCCACAGACCTTAGCAAATGCGTAATTAAAATATTGTGATGTAGAAAGTCACATGGTTCCAACTGAGTGACAAGGAAAGAAAGAAGATTATGTAATGGCTGTTAAGCACAAACAATTTGTATTCATTATAGTTGTAACGGACCAAAAACAAGTAAATGAAAGGGGTAAATAGTGAGTTTGGATTTTTCAAAATAAGTGAATAAAATCTTTTAAGTGAACAATCAGGTAAATTGTGCATGAGTATTGAGATATCACAAATGTTTTCAACTTTGAATCACAGTCAAATGACCAAGAAGTTGTACATACTAAATATCACACTCACTTTCATGTACTTAATGTTGTTAGGAAATCCAAGATAATGTAGGAAAAAATGAATGGTAAAATACTCAGAAAGAAGATTAAAAAAGTCTATTCAATGAAACTAGGCTTCTGTTTTATACATGAAAAATTTTTGAAAAGTTTAGGTGACATAAGGTCACAAAACGTTTCATACTCTAAATTGAAATTGAATACTCTTAGTCTCTTCAAGCTCTTTGTGGAATTCAGCCAGTTCCTCAGTGGAGCAACCAAAGTCAGCAATAATGTTAGAGCTGTTGAACTGACCTCTATGAATAACAGCATCTGCTAAGAACAGCATTCCTACCTGGCCACACTGATCATCATCGAATTATTTTCTGTTTGCATGCTTAGACTTCATTGGTTTACTGCTTTCATAACTGAGAAAATTTTGCTCTATCACGCAAATCTTCTAAGTCTTGACTTGGTCTCTAGCATCAAATATATTAATAGAGGAAATCAGCATTCCTTAGACTAGATTTACATCTGCAAACCTTAAAGATCATAATCCTCAGAAAGCAGCAAATGGCGCAGTGCTAACTTTCATTGACTTTGGCAAGTCTCTTTAAAAGGCTTGAAAAGAAATACCATTTTTTTCACACCAAATTGATTTCACATGCTGCTTGTGATTGGTCATGCAATATTTTCCTTCATTGACTATGCAAAATTGTTGGACCAATTGGGTTGTTTCAAGTTTTGACAAACCGTTTTTAATTGACAGCTTTGCTAAGAGAAAATCTCTGTACACATAATAATAATAGTTATCTATGCATAACAGAGCAACCCAGAAGAATGAGTCTTTAATAACTCTTTGATTTCTTACTGATGAGAAACAAAAATGAAAGTAAATGGTAGAATTTCTTTTCTCCTTTTAGGAGTGTGGTATCACATTCCAAGTAAAAGAAGCACCATGGTTCCCAAAAGTTGGGTTAGCCAGCCACTTTCAGCCCACCATATAAGGGTTTGTGCAAATTTAAGCTATTGTTTACTTTCTCCAGATCTCAGAAATATAAGAGACATAAGTTGAATGCATTTGATTTATGTTTGATTATTTATGTTTATGTCTGTATTACATACCTGTCACAATGAGCTCCACTCACAGTACTTGAAAACAGCTCTAAGGTCTCGAGTTCACACCTAAATTTGGTATTGTCTTTAGGGTTGACGTTCTTGATAACCAAGGTAGCTCTTCCTTCAATTTTAACTCTTCCTTTGTAAAAATGTGGAATACTAGAATAATATTGGACACCACCACTGTCATTAAGCATGATTTGGACAAATGCACCATTTACCAGAACACTGTAGATAATGTTCTGAACCTTATTATGTGGATCAATGTAGTCCCACACCAGGTCAACATGTAAGATGTGTATAAGGGCAATTCCACTATCGCGGATGTTACATTCAGACTCAGTTTTGAAACTTTAATTTGGCACAGACAAAGGATAAATAAGGAGTTGTCCAGTTTTCCATTAATGAACATGTTTGTGCCTACTGACATATTAATTGGGCTGTACAATTTTTCCATCTCACTGATTTCTGTGAAAGAAATAGAGCCAAAAAACACTGTTGCGGACATTACATAAAAATCAACCACATTATCAAGTGCATTAGCATTAAGTCAAAATTCCTGTGAAGTATCAGGGTTTCTTATATGAACTGTTCCAAATATCTACAGTTAAGTGGTTGTGTGAACCAAAAAGCTCTATTTCATTCAAACTGGCATTCACAGTTTTACCAGGCTACTTGAACTTCAGCATCGCAGACGTTACAACCAATGTTGCAGACGTTACATTGTGTGAATCATTGTTAAGTATAGAAGATAAATCAGCTATTCTGTATTGTTCTTGGTCACAACATGGTTTTTAAATGAAAAAGCAGTGTGAAAGAAACACTTGAAAGACCTTCTGAAAGGCAAAGGTGACCTGTTAAGACAAGATGCAGTTTTCTTTCCCTGCAATGATATTCAGAGTGAAAATTGGTTCCTTGGAGTGATGTTTCCCCAGGAAATGTGCATTGTGGTGCTTGACAGCCTACCAGGGAAATTCATAAAGCCAACTGTGTTAAAACAAGTGGAAAAGATGGTGTCACTTCTTGTGAAAGTTGACCAGTCGATCGACATCGACCAGTGGTCTTTCTTTTCAAACAGGCCTGGTGAGATTCCACAACAGGACAATACCTACAACTGTGGTATTTTCACTTGTCTGTATGCAAGATGTTTGGCCACAAGATGCCAAATGATCCCTAAAACTGAAGTTCCAACATACAGGCAACTGATGATCCAAGAATTGCACCAGAAAAGGTTATGCCCAATTCCACCACCAACTATTCAACCGAGGGAATACTATGCAGTTGATTACATCAAAAACTATTATTTTGGCAGAATAATAGACAAAAATGACAGTTTTGTCCAATTCAAGTTCCTGCACAGAGTTGGTGCAACTACTTATCATTGGCCGAGGCGAGACGATATGGACAGAGTCCACCTTTCAAATATTTTTGCTGGTCCTGTTACTGTTCCTCACTTTATTAGTGGACCATTTGAAATTCCAGAGCAACCAGCTGTGGAAAAACTCTTCAGAGTCATTAGGAAACATACAAGGGTTTAAGAGCCGTGAGAAATGACTATGTTCATCAAATTTTGGTAGAACCCCTTCTATTCTTGAAATGTCAAAATAGCAACCTTCTTGAAAGCTGTTGTTTGTTTCAAAATGTTTGTTAGGTGAGACTAGAGCATATCTAGAAGAACCTATTGACTTATGGTGAAGAAGTGTAACGTCCGTGACGTAACGTCCGGAACAAAGTTTTGCTGCCATTATTTTGAAAATGTTGCAGTTTACTAGAGATTTCTTTTTACTAAAGTGCTTCTATTGGATATCTAGCTGTGTGACAAGAATGTCTTTAACATCCTTCACATAGTTATCTTAGGAAAGAAAAAGGAATGTTTAAATGTTGTGGACGTTACGTAACGTCCGTGACAGAACTTGCCTTTGTTATATCTACTTTAAAAAAAAAAGTTCAGGTGAAAGTTATATCTTTTATGTATTTATTCCATTAGAGGATTTTTTCTGATACAAGTGTTTGCAGCCCTTCATATTTTTGAAGTTTGATGCAGCAGGTTAAAATGTACCCTCTTGCCCATTGTCTTTCATAAAAAAAATAAACACTTCCTTTGGAGACCCCCCCTGAATACATGGTTGTCACAAGGGAGCTGGAATTTATTTTTCTGTGTGCTGTAACTTGTCAGCATCGTAACACAGAGTATAATTTCAAGTCTATAACAATAGGATTGTGTTACATCAGGTGACCTTACGCAAGCGACACGTGTGTGAAGTAAAGTCTCGTGTCTGGTCGTTTATAGACTTGCGGCTCGTTACATGGTGTCAGAAGTGAGATTCGTCGAACAAAATGCCAGATAAAACACTTGGAACGCCCAGCACAAGCGCTGCCGCGGAACGATCGATCTCTCAGCTCAAACCGCCCAGCAATTTGGATTTCGGAAATCCCAGTGAGCTCCCACATGCCTGGAAAAGATGGAAAGAAGAAATTACCCTGTACATGGACTTGGCAATGGATGGGAGAGAAGAAAAGACGAAGGTAAAACTCTTTCTTTATACTATCGGCAACCAGGGACTAGAGATATACGACACACTGCCATTCTCCCGCGGCCCAACCGAACGTTCGCTCAAGGATGTGATCGATGCCTTTGAAACACACTGCAACCCCAAGAAAAACGAAACAGTAGAGCGTTATAAGTTTTTCACTAGGGTGCAAGAAGAAGGAGAGCCGCTAGAAAAATTCATAGTTGACCTGAAGATCTTAGCCTCAACCTGTAATTTTACCACCCTGCGGGAGTCACTGGTCCGTGACCGAATTATCTGTGGAATTCGTGACTCAAAGCTTAGAGAGGATCTTTTGAAAGTTGCCGACTTGGATCTTGATAAGTGCGTCAATGCCTGTCGAGCCTCAAATTATCGAAAGAAAGGAACAGAGGAATTGAGGCAACGTCAGAAACAGTCCACCATCTCACTAGCGGAAACAAAAGAGAAGAGAAAAAAGACAAAAGAGATCAGGGCGGCAGAGATGACAAAGATGAGAACCAGAAATTAATCCGAAAATGCAAATTCTGTGGACGACAACATCGGCGAGGAAATTGCCCAGCATATGGCGTAGAATGTCAAAAGTGCCACAAATCAAATCATTTCGCCTCCGTTTGCATGTCTAGGAGGCCAAAACCAGTCCACACTGTGGAAAGCGATGACGACTATGATGAAATAAAAACAGTAGAGTTGAACACCGTTGACGAGATTAACGCCGTGGCAGCACGTAAATTTCCAAAGCGCCTTTTCGCAACGATAAATGTGGGCAAGACGCCAGTATGCTTTCAGCTCGATAGTGGAGCCTCATGCAACGTCATCTCGGCGAAAACCCTCGAAAATTGCTTGGGTGAAGTTGAACTAAAGAAGACAACCAAAAGGCTTTCCATGTACAACTGCACCACGGTGCAACCATTGGGACTTTGTCAGCTGGAACTCTGCAATACCAAAAATGGGAATGTGTATCAAGTGGAATTCACAGTCCTAAGGCAAGATTGCACTCCCCTTCTTGGGAGCGAAACCACACAAGAAATGGACCTCATTCAAGTACGTTTTGAAAACATTCTGTCCTTAGATCTTAGCTCAGAGGACAAGCCACTTACCAAAGAATCACTTATTGCAAAGTTTCCGGATGTCTTCAATGGTACAGGTAAGCTTCATGGCTCGTACCACCTGGAAATTGAAGCAGATGCTATCCCTGTTGTTCACCCTCCAAGAAAAGTTCCCATAGCCATTAAGCCTCAGCTCAAAGAGGAATTGGAACGATTGCACAAGCTCGGAATCCTAGCACCTGTCACAGAACCTACTCCCTGGGTTTCTAGCATGGTTGTAGTAAAGAAGCCTAATGGTACCTTGCGTATTTGCATAGATCCGAAGGACCTAAACAAAGTCCTGAAACGCAGTCATTACCCATTACCCACCATTGAAGATATCCTGCCAGACCTCAGCCGTGC